GTGTTTGAAAAAATGCATGTGAGAGATAAAAATTGGTAGTGGTGGCTGTTGGATTTTGACTGGTTCTGGAAGGTGCATGTTAATTAATTTTTTCTTTCTTGTTTAAAAGTACTAAAATAAACTTAGAAGGATAAAATTTTTATTTTCATTTATACTTTGACGACATTATTAATTTTTTTACATTTATTTAATATTGATTAACATAAGATTGTAAGTGTACTGTAATTAAGCTTTTAGCAAAATTTGTTATAATTTTTTATATCAATCGTCCTTTTTTTTTTTTTTTGTAAAAGCAGAGGTCCATAAAACAATTTTTATAAGCTTTTAACATAAGACAATTTTTGTTCTATTTTGATTGTGAACGTTTAGTGGTAAATTTTCACTAATAGGTAGGATTCGCTGATTAAGTGTTTAAAAAGAATAATGTACTCGAAATCCCTTCAAGCCTATTCTTCTTTTTGATTATTTCCACCCATGCATGCGTAACAATCAAAATCTTAGTTTAAGATTTAGTTCACTCTAATTTCTGTAGCATAGCATCTACAAAAGATATAGTATGCAATAGTGAGCAAGAATACTGACCATGGAGAAGTTTCAGATTGCTATGTAAAACCAAACGAGATTTCTGTTTTCAGAGTCCGTGTTCAATAATATGATTCTTTTGTGGTTTCTCATCCTTTGCTTTAATGAGTTCAAGTGTAATGGGGGCACAAGGTAAGCAATCTTGCAGAATGTTAATAGTATAACATTTAAGCAAAAGAATCTTTACTCTAACGTGTTTCAATAACCTATCTGTTTTGGGTCCAGCAAGTATATTTCCATCGTGGATGGAGGTTTATTCTTTTCTTTCAATAATCTTTACTGTAATATGTTTCAATAATCTTTACTCTAATATGTTTCAATAATCTTTACTCTAATTTTTGGATATCTTTTGTTTTAATAATTTTTAATTTCCAGCAGGTTGACAATAGGTTTGTCCAATCTAATTGCTTTATTGATGTTTACAATTTGTGATTGAAACATACTCTAATTTTTTGATATCTTTTGTTAATTTTCAGCAGGTTTGATAACAGGTTTGTCCAATTTAATTGCTTTATTGATGTTTACAGTTTGTGATTAGGTTTAATATTTGATCAGGTGTGTCCAATACATTGTGTCTGGAGCATTGTGTTTGCTTAATAGGCTCACATTAGGCAGCTTGAGGACTTCCTTAAGACCTTTCATATCGAAACATTGTGGTAAATATTTGATTTGTATTCTTACTTAAGCAATGATTGATCATTGTTATTTTGTGATTATTTCTTTGATTGGTTGTGTTGGAAATTTATAAGTATGGTTTTTTTAAAAAAATTTCTTAAAATTATCATTATTTGGGTTTATTAAAATCAAATTGGGGTGGGTGGGGTAGGGAGGAGCAAGAAAGAATGAATGATTTAAGAAATCAACTATAGATATATATATTTTTAACATTTTGTCTCAGTTAAATCTAAACCACATTTCATTTTTCTATTTCAACGAATAGGCTCTTAACAGAATTATGGAATTCATGAGTTAAATTTTTAAATTCATTGATTTTTAAATTCATGAGTTAATTGGTTTGCATATGTAGTATCATATTGTTCAAGCTTTAATTAATCTCATTAGCAAAAGCCTTTGTATTTTCTTAGAATTCTCTTATTCAATTTATTATTTACTAAATTTGATATTTTAAATTGAAGTGAGTCATAATTGATAGATTTTATTACGAGAGATAATAAATTTAAATTTGACGAAAATGGGTTAGAGAGAGATGAAATGTGATGAACTAGAGACAATAAATTTAAATTTGACGAAAATGGGTAGAGAGAGATGAAATGTGATGAACCATTATGAGATACAGAGAAGTTAGTTTCTAATTGTTGAACCACTTGATGAGGCCTTTTTTTTAGAGAAAAAAATAGAGCTTTAATTTCTATGTTATTTAATTTGTATATAAATATTCACTTAATATGCTATCTTGCCATGTATAGGACACAACAATATTCACTAAGTTTAATTTACTATTCACTCAGTTTGTTATCCTTTCTATTGTTATGCTTTTCTTAATGCTGATATTGATACATGTTTAGGAATGTAGAATTAGGTGTAATCTGAGTTACGCCATGGAGTACGAGATTTGTCATGTCATAAAAAAATAAGAATTTTTTTTTACCAAATTTGTCATGCTCATTAGTTGAGGCATGGACTACTAGATTTGTTCCTGTCTGTGGGAGAGTTTTTTTTTTTTTCTTTTTCTTTCCTGCATGTTATTTGATGCTCATGGATTTTCTTTGTTATGTTTATTTTTTTATTTTGTCTTAGTTAAATCTAAACCACATTTCTTTTTCTATTTCAACGAATAGGCTCTTAACAAAATAATTCATGAGTTAATTGGTTTGAATTTGTAGTATCATATTGTTCAAGCTTTAATTAATCTCATTACCAAAAGTCTTTGTATTTTCTTGGAATTCTCTAATTGGTTGTTGAGAGTTTCATTGTTCTAGGTTAGTTTAACTGGATATCTTTATGTATTCAAATTTAAATTATTATTTACTAAATTTGATATTTTAAATTGAAGTGGATCATAATTGATAGGTTTTATTGCGAGAGACAATAAATTTGACGAAAATGGGTTAGACAGAGATGAGAATTGATGAACCATTATGAGATACAGAGAGGTTGGTTTCTAATTGTTGAACCATTTGATGAGACCTTTTTTTTAGAGAAAGAAATATAGCTTTAATTTCTATGTTGTTTAATTTGTATATAAATATTCACTCAGTAGGTTATCCTGCCATGTATAGGACACAAAACAATATTCACTCAATTTAATTTAATATTCACTCAGTTTGTTATCCTGCCTATTGAGTTAATTTTTGGATTCTATGATTTTGTCAAAGATCATTTACTCCACTTAGTAGCCCAATAGATGCCGAGTGGGTGGATCAAGCGCTACTAGGAGCACATCCTCCTTATTGCTCCTTTGCTAGGAGGAAATGTAGCATCACCAGTAAACTGAGACAACTCTTCTTAAAGCTGGTTAATATTTTAAACTTGGTCTCTAAACATAATGATAGTCTCTTTGTTCTTGGTGTTATTTATTCTAATTTTATATTTCTATTACGCTTTTAATATATTAGTCTTCGCAGGACATAGCATTAGAACAATATTTTCTAATTTTATATTTCTATTATGGTTTCAGGACATAACTTTAGAATAATCAAGCCTAGCCTCATAATTAAATGATGTTGCCAACGGGTTTAGTAGTAGAACCAATATTTTGGCTTGGGGGCAACATTAAGAAAAAAAACCTAAGTTTATATTGCCAATGGGTAGGGTGGCAAAAATAATATTTTGGCTTGACAAAGTTTTGCCCAGTTTCACAGGCTTATTACTCACTCAGTTGTGTAGTTATAAATTATAATTAAAAAAAATCACATATCTATCTTTACGGTTAATCTTACATTTGATCAATTAACTGGTTTAAGGATTCCCAGTGGCAAAAAATATATTAGGGGAACTGCGTACGTATCAGTTTACTTACTAATTGATAGTTGTAAAAAGCATGCATTTATCTATTCTCTCTCAAATTGGTCCCTCTATAAAACATGTATTGGTACCATTTCGTCAACAAAAATAATTTTGCTTACGTATGTAAGGTTGTGTTTGAATCATAATAACTTTATATTTCCCTCATTTTTTCTTTTTCCTTTTTAAATTTGCTCCCCCGTTCAACTAAGAAGACTTCTATACAAGAGTTATCATTTTATTGATAGGTTTCACTATGTAAAACCTATGTAAACTTCTCTCTTACATTCATGTTTAGAATCTTCGCTCGATGCTATTTTTCATGTGTGTTTCAGCCAATGATGGGGTCAGAAGTATGCTTGCCACTGATATATTCAGAGCTATTAGAGAAGTACATGAATTTTGTGCTGAAAGAAGGGGATTAATTACAAAACAAATTGAAAGAAGATTATTTGTTGCTATGACAATGTTCAAACCAAACCAAATTAAACCAAGCCTTTAGTCCCATTGCTATGACAATGTCATTGCAAAAAATTGTGAAACATGCAATTATAACTCTTAAACATGGGTTTGTTGAGTTTTTTTGGTATTGTTCAAATTGAAACCGTGAAATCATCTGATTCAATAATATTATATTAAGCTATTCATGTATTTGTTATTGTTCTTCAAATTATTTTTATTACTGCAATGAGTTCATTTTGTTGTCAAATTGGAGTTGCTTTTAAAGAATCATTTTGTTCTTTTTGATTTTTCATATTATTTTTCATATCATTTTGTTGATTTCTCATAACTATTGGTTTTTTAAAGTGAATTTAAGCGAGTGATTTTGTTGTAGGTGGCAGATCCGTATTGGGAACGTTGGGTTATGTTGCTTCTCTTTATATGTGCAGTTGGTTGGCTCTCATTCTAAACTGGATGGTTAATTATTATTATTTTTAGTTAGATAGGATGATACTCTTTTGTACCAAAATATTCGTTCATCTTTTCTTGAAGGTATTGAAATTTGATAAATTGAAAAGGTTACCAGTTATGATACTAATTCAGTAACATTCTTTTATTGAAGGTTTGCTATACATGTGTCATTTTAACGTGGATTGAATTCTAAAATTTGTTGTATGGACTTGAATTTTAGCAAATATTTTTAGATTCTATTATTTGCTTATGCTACACTGTAATATAAAATTTATTATTTGGACTGTAATTTTGAAGTTTGTTATTTGAAATTTATGAATGTTTTTGCCAGTTTACTATGTAGAAACAATTTCAACTTCTTATTTGTGAAGTATTAAACTGAAGTGATATATCATTTTAAATTGATTTATTACAATTGAATTCCGTAACCCGTGTGGTACGAAAAAAATTATTGACCGTGCCTTCAGGCACGGGTTATCCCTAGTATATATATATCATAACTAAACACAACATAAGACAACTAAATAACTCATAGGTCATAACTAAAACAATGTAATAACTAAAGAAGAAAATTAGTCATAACTAAAAAAATGATATAACTAAGGGTACATATGATACATTTTTTTTGAAGATAAGATAATGCACTTTTTTTAAAGAGATATATTAGATTTTTTCGTAATTTTATCTAAATTGTTGGTTAGTTTATTCATTGTAAAATATGGTTTGATAATGAAAATGGATTAGCAGTCACTAGTGATGTGGCGTGTTTTTTCTAACACCAATATTGAACATAATTCAGTATGTTTGGTTTCAATTTCTTAGATTTAATTTTTTAGAAATTGAGTTTTTTATTTTTTATATTTTATTTTTATTTTTAGTGAATATTTTTAAAATTTGAAGCATTTTTTTTTTACTTTTTTAGATACACCTCACTTAGATGTATCTAAAAAATAAAATATTTGTAAAAAAATATTTTAAAAAAATTAATAAATATACAAGAATACAAAAAATTGTATTGGATTCTCATAATTTTTTTTTTTTGTATTTTTGGTATTTAGTGAATTTTCTAAAGATTTTTTTTCACAAATATTATACATTTTAAGTGTATTTATGTTAGATGTATTTAAATATTAAAAAAAATTACATAGTATATTAAAAAAATTTAGTGAAAATGTAACGCCCTCAAAATAATAACATTAAACCCATCAATATAGACATACATTGATATATATAAAAGTTCCACATTCTTCTATTCAACAGAGTTTCATTACAAAAAGTATTACATGTTAACAACAAAAGCAAATACCCTGAAGGCTTACAGCTTTCCAAGCTAACACTTGGTTACAACAAAAGAGTACTAACTCATTTACATATTAAGCCCTTGACTTGAATATACATGTAATACATCAAAAGGGAAAAGACAACAAAAGTCCGCCCGCCTCTAGCCTTCCAAGCTACGTCCTTGGAGGTGGCATGCTACCTGTACCTGAAAATGATGGAATGGACACCTCGTTCATAAGCAGATGTCGAAGGTTCTTCGCCTTCCAAATGGAACTCGACAGATTGGTTATGTTAGTATACTTCAAATCTAAAGTCTCCAGGCACGGTAGATCGCCAATAGACTTCGGACATGAGTCTATACCCGTCCATCGCAAGCTTATGTACCTTAAGTTGCTCAAAAACTTGCCAAGTTTCGCGTGTAGCAAAGGTTTGTGGGCACCTTCTAGATCAAGCACCTTCGTCAACACAAAACCTCTAGATCTCCTCCTATCGATAATTGTTTTAAGCAACTCATTGATTTTTTCGTTGGATGTACCTCTCTTTTGGGCTTTAAAACAAACATCTGATAAACAAACATTATTAGGCTGAGCAGGTGAATCTATATTATTCTGAGCAGATGAATCTGTATTAGGCTGATCAGCCAGTGAATCTGTTCTAAGCTGAGCAGGTGAATCTATCGGCGTACAATTCGCTCTGCAATGGTGGGAGTGAATAAATCCTATATCCTCAGATTTTTGAAAGAAGAAATCATGAAGAAAGCTTGGCATTCGGCATGTTTTATGCCTTCCGTCTTCCTTCCTTGTTGCTATTTCAATCATGTTTCTGTGCACGAGTTCTTTCAAATATTTACCGGCTATATCTTCAGGTTGTTGGGTACTTGACATTTTCACAAAACCCTCTGCAATCCACAACTGCAACAGCCTCCGCACGGAGATCTCATACTCTTTAGGAAAGAGAGCCAAGTAAAGAAAACATAGCTTCAACTTAGACCGTAGCTCACGAAAACATAAAGCTATAATATTTGAGAGAGGTGATTGATCAAGTTTGTCCAAGTCGATTAAAAGACTATCAATTACACAGACCAACTCATTAGGTTGTATAGTTGACAACAATCGTCCAAGCAGGACAATTGCTGGAGGCAAACCGCTGCATATTTTCAGAATTTTTACCTTGTTACTGTTTAACTGGTGGTGTGTATCTGTGTCATGTCTGCCTACACGAAACTTGTTCGAGAACAATTCCCAACTCAGCTCATCAGTGAAGGGCTTGAGTTCCAGCGGTGGGCGACTCCACGGATCAACATCCGAGGCTATCTTAGAGTCGCGAGTAGTGAGGATGACTCTGCTACCATTGGCGGCGTCTGCAAAGGGACATGCTAACATGAGCCAGACATCAAACGAGGAGACATCATCCAAGACTATTAGAAACCTGAGCTCCATTAAAGTCTGGAAAAGCAGAGCAGACAGCTCGCCCTCGCTCATGAATTCTACCCCCTTCAACACCCCCATCGGAATCTGTTTGAGTAAGACAATCAACAGATCCTTGCATTTAATATTTTTGGGAACATGGAGCCAAACACGGCACTCGAAAGACTGCCGAACGTCGAGTCTGTTATAAACCTTCCTTGCCAGAGCTGTCTTGCCCACAGCCTTTTCGCTGACCAGAGAAATCACGCGGAGGCTTTTCTCGTCGTCGTTGATCAGTCGATCTACCAGATTATTCTCTGCTACATCTCCAAATCCAACAAGTTCATCATCATCATCTTCAAATTCATGGGTTTTGTGATTGATTGCCGAATGGTCTCTGCGAGGCCGCGATTCACTACGTACAGCTTTTAAGCTCTTCACGAAATTTTTCAATTTGGAGCTGAACCGTAATTGGGTCCATGGTGGAATTGGAAGAAATGCCATTAATGGCGGGTTTTTGGTAAGATTTTTGAGATCATCCCGTCGGCAATGAATTGGTGTGTTGAGGAGGAAAGTTTCGATCAACAATTCAGCAGAGTAAACAGAGCGAAGAAGGGTACTGGTATCATCTGAAGAGTAAACAGAGCGAAGAAGGGTACTGGTATCATCTGAAGAGTAAACAGAGCGAAGAAGGGTACTGGTATCATCTGAAGAGTAAACAGAGCGAAGAAGGGTACTGGTATCATCTGAAGAGTAAACAGAGCGAAGAAGGGTACTGGTATCATCTGAAGAGTAAACAGAGCGAAGAAGGGTACTGGTATCATCTGAAGAGTAAACAGAGCGAAGAAGGGTACTGGTATCATCTGAAGAGTAAACAGAGCGAAGAAGGGTACTGGTATCATCTGAAGAGTAAACAGAGCGAAGAAGGGTACTGGTATCATCTGAAGAGTAAACAGAGCGAAGAAGGGTACTGGTATCATCTGAAGAGTAAACAGAGCGAAGAAGGGTACTGGTATCATCTGAAGAGTAAACAGAGCGAAGAAGGGTACTGGTATCATCTGAAGAGTAAACAGAGCGAAGAAGGGTACTGGTATCATCTGAAGAGTAAACAGAGCGAAGAAGGGTACTGGTATCATCTGAAGAGTAAACAGAGCGAAGAAGGGTACTGGTATCATCTGAAGAGTAAACAGAGCGAAGAAGGGTACTGGTATCATCTGAAGAGTAAACAGAGCGAAGAAGGGTACTGGTATCATCTGAAGAGTAAACAGAGCGAAGAAGGGTACTGGTATCATCTGAAGAGTAAACAGAGCGAAGAAGGGTACTGGTATCATCTGAAGAGTAAACAGAGCGAAGAAGGGTACTGGTATCATCTGAAGAGTAAACAGAGCGAAGAAGGGTACTGGTATCATCTGAAGAGTAAACAGAGCGAAGAAGGGTACTGGTATCATCTGAAGAGTAAACAGAGCGAAGAAGGGTACTGGTATCCCCTGCTTCTTCAAGTTCCTTCCGAATGCGTTGTAGTTCGTTGATGGCATCATGTACATGATTTCTCAGTCTTGGATAGATAAATCTTTCCTGGACTACCTCTTTCAACTTGTTTAATTTCTCTAATAAAATTGAAATCGGCACATCAGCTCCCATGGTTTCTCTCTCATCAATATCTTCGTAATTGATTTCTCACAAATATTGAAAATTACTAAGTCAACTGTGGATCAATGACTGGTGTGGTGTGGTGTGGTGTGGTGTGGTAGACAGCCATTGCTGGTTGATAATGATTTATCCATATTACGGGGTTGTTTGGTATAGAACTGAAAAGGGCAGTTCTATGAATCCAGGCATAAAGAATCAGAAGCTAACAGAATTTAAGATCAAAGGTCTAGATTCATCATTAATGATAGGGTCTCACACATAAAACTTTTATTGTGCACCATAAATCCAGCATTTTGGGTATTTTCTGGATTGAAAAATGTTTGAAAGCCACAATTTTTGTGGTCACAATGGCTTAAAATAGCCAAAACGACGTCGTTTTGACAGTTTTGAGCCACTGTGGCACAAAAATTGTGGCCCTCTAGCATTATTGTTTCTGGATTTGGTTTTCTGAGTCCCAAGACACAAGTTAATTTCATCTTCTTTTTTTTTTAATCTTTAAATTACATCTTATCATTTATTTATGGGAGAATTGCAAAAATATGGTATTAACACAAAATAATTGCAATGTCATGAAAGTACAAACAATTTATGCATTAGATTGTGCAATTAAGTCTTGTACTTCCACCTCTTTGCAATTATTTTAAGTTTATACCTTTTGTTTTTTGAGATCGTCCCTTTATTTAATTGAAAAAGAAAAAAACCGGGTTTGATTATTATAACAAAATAAATTCTTAATTTTTAATTTTA